CTCAAATGTAGTCTGTGTTCATTATTGTTAAGGAACTTCCTCCTTTAGCCAAGTATTTGATATGAGCATGCTATAATAGGTACATTTCTTCCTTGATAAAAAGCTGCTTTTACTTATACGTCTATGATTTACCGGTACCTTGAACTCATTGAAAGACAGTTTAACGGTCAACAACTACATATTCCATCAGCTGTTTTTTCAAGTTTCATCTTAAAATGGAAAATCATTACTCAGAATACATACTACATTAGTAAACCAAGATTGATAAAAGCTCAAGATGTCTATAAAAGATTCTGATAAAAAAATTGTCTGTTCATCTCCAAAAGCCCATCACGATAATGCTGTCTGTGTAAATAGCAAACTATTTTATGTTCAGTTGTGTCCTCTAAGGAAATCCACAATATCCGAATTATTACAGGTAAACTTAATACGATTCTGACCTTCATCTGACTTTGCATCTAATGTGTTTAAGAGTTTTTTTCAAGACAAACTTGATCTTCGGTGTAGACATTTCAAACATCTATCTTTTGAATTTTCCTTTCAGTGAAAAATTGGCAGGTATAATTTGGTACATGTTCCACATTGCATAACCCTTAATCTGCCTGCCTTGGCAAAATTGTTGCTCTAATGAAAAAGCATGTTAGTTTGTACCAATGACATGTCACTGTAAAATTTCTACCGAGATGACACAGACATGAAGTATCTTGTAACCTCAAATTTGGACCCCCTCAACCTCCCTTGCACTTAATGGCAATGCTTTTAACCCCAAACAGAAAGAGACAAAGAAATTGATTTATCCATTTTACCTCTGATATCAATATCACTTTCCTTACTCAACTAAACAAATAACAGAAAAAAATATATACATGGATCCAGTAATAATTGACTAAGGTACTTTTTCAGCTCATCTTTCCATGCTTAAGCATAATTTCATGGATTTAGATTAGATGACCACAAATCAAAACTTGAAATTTGAGAAACAGAGAAAATGTAATAACCATGAAACAAGACCCTACATGTAAATTATACAGCTACATATGCTGATCCGTAGCCATAAATCAATGGAGAAAAACCCTTGTTGTCTCAGCATAAAGTACAGTCTCTATCCTTAGAGTATCTTTTAAGTATCTGGAATGAAATTGCAAAAAAAAAAAAAAACTATGCAAAAAAAAATTCCACTGAGCTTTGACTACAAGCTCTTATCGAGACGGAAATTAATTGACATGTTAAAAACAGATTAGATATATGTATCTTTTCCTTGTTTTTGATGACTCCATCTTTGTACTTTATAAATTTGGGATGGAAAAAATACATCCTGGGAACAATGTATTTTTTTGTTGCGAGATTTAGACAATTTTCTCATACAGATGCGTGATCTATACCACAGATAGTTTTTGTATAGATTTGAACGTATACATAGTATTGCAGCCTGCCTATTCACGCAACTATTTCAAGTATCTAGGCCACTCACTATGGTGTGTTAGACAAACCCTAAACTGCGAACATTATATCATGTTCATTCCCTGTGTCTAAAGAATTTTTTAAAGACATTGCCAACTCTCAAATGTTGATAATAAGGCTTTCAATGGCCTATGCATATATGAAAGACTTTTTAAAGATATTGTGTACCAGTACATTTAAAAATTTTTGACCTCTTTCATTCATGCACCAAATTCCCAGGCACTGAACAGCTAAACTGAAAATATCTAAACTGGGAAAAAATCTTTAAAATATGTCTCTGTATTATCCTGGTAATTTTCATTATCAATGTCTCTAAAATTTCAAAGAAAGTCTAGATCCATGACCTGAATTCCTGTTAAGAATTTATCTCAGTTATTATTTCTTGATATCATGGAAAACATACTGCATATTGGAAATTTTTTCCCAAAACATTCTTTTGGAGGAAACAGAATAAACAGATCTATACATTTGGCATTGCCATATGGCATTCTGTAATATTTTTAGCATTTAACTATAAGCAATAAATCGTAAAAAGGACTCTATATTCAGAATATACACACAAAGTGTATTGATTCAATCTATATTTCATTGCTAGCTGACTCGGGAAAAGTATAGACAGCTGGAATATTATTACCATAGTAACCCAGAAACCAGTGCAACTGTGTTATTAACAGAATAAAAATATATTTTGGAGCACTAAAAAGATCAAGCAAAAATGTAGAGCAACTAAATGATATCATTATTACAATCTTGAACGCATTACGCAACTAAACAAATAATGCAATTTTGTGATACCATCATTACAATTTAGAGCATATTCATTACTCAGTCTATTTCATAACTGATTTGCCAAAAGAAACCTTTTAACATAATATCTAACATTTTAATGATCTACACTGTATCCTATATACCTTTTCCTATCTAAATCTATAGCATTTTTTATCCGATTGTGAAAAAACTTTTACAGCATTGTGTATTTGCCCTGTGTGAATGATAATAGGATATAATATCAAAGCTAAAGTAAAATTTCCCTCTTCCCTTACGAGCACATCTGTGGAAAAAAAGATAGATCAACATTACAACAATGTGGCTATCTGCCTGTTATGTATTACCTCACTGCTATATACATTGTTTGTTACATATTTTTCTCAGTGTGAAAGCTATTATACTCAGCAACCTTTAAGTTTGAAGGTTGTTTTGTACTGTATATAATATCTTTAAGTGCGGTTTGTTTGCCTGTAAAATATAAATATAGTGTTTGTTCTTGCAATACAATGCAGTATTAGCCAGTATATACTACTTGGTGTACACGAGCGTGTAAATAATTTGCACACAACTTTTGAAGATGACTATAAGCATTTAAAGAAACTGGAAAGATATCTTTTGAATAGAATTTACAAATACAAATCAGTTTATGAACAAAGAAATCTGGAATACCATGGATATCTTGAAGTAATTTTGAAGTCCTTATCACTTATTACTTTAAGTATTTTATCCTTGATACCTCAAATCCTTGGATATTCTAGTAAATTTTTTCTGGGTCCAATAGAGTTATAGATAACAAAGTTTGACTGTAGTTTAATCATTACATTTATATGCAGGAAGTACTCAATGAAGTTATATTTCTTCACTTGTTGCACATTGTAAATCAACAATACACCATTTAAGTAAAATGTCAATGTCATTCAAATAATTTACAATTTCCTTATCTCTCCATACTTCCTTTAGCTAAATTTGTGAAATTTCAGATGGACACAATAAACCGGTATCCCTGACCTTTGCGTCTATCCTCCTTTGACCTAAGAGTCGATTTCGATGTAATACAAACGTTTACTTTTGTGACAAATAAAACACTCTACCATTATACCATGTGTTTCCTAGAAACTGATCAATTCATAAAAAATATCAGACTATATGCATATGTATATCAATATTGAATAATGGCATATTGTTCCCTAGACAAAGTAAACAGAGGAAAAAGTCAGAATGTGGCCACAGGGCAAACGTATAAAACAGTCGTACAAATTGCACTAAGCTCAGGCAATCAGGACCTATAATCAACCGAGACACAATGAAGCCGTGAACAACAATGTTCAATCTTGTTAACATGATAGGGGACGAGGATATTGTTTGTGATGTTAAACTGTGAAAATGATAATTAGATATATATTTATTCCAGAGTTCAACAGGAAATATTGATAATATCAATATTCCAATTTTAAAATGATTAAACGGATTAATATGCAGTGGAATAGTGAACTGCATTTTTTTTTTTAAAACCGATCCCTTATCTCACATTTTAAATATACATTGACTGATTTGGATCACTGAATTACTAGAATGTTTTTGAAATTGATTTAAATTCAACTTGTGCAAATATTGATATAAGACCAAAATGTAGTCTTCTTTGAATCTCATTTTTCCTTCAAACATGTTTTGTTGACTTCTAATATCAAATCATTGGCAATTAACAAAATTATAATTTTTGAAATTTATTCTATTTCCCCGGAACAGCTAAAGAGTACGATGATGTACCACTTGAAGTGTTTGTCAGTATCGTAACTGACTTTCCCCAAGCACATTTGAAATGACATGTAAACTTTTTTCATGAGAGACATTCAATTTTGACAGCTAATAATGACATGTCTCCTATATATGAATGGGAAACATTTTTTCTGTAGTACTATGCTTATCAAACACAATATGACTCATAATCAGTCTGTATATTTCCCGTCTGCACTGATATCATCAAATGGAGTTCACAGCTGCAAGCAGACTATCAAAAATGACCTCAGTTTATTCCCAACATTGCTATGCCATGCCATGACACAGTGCTCCAGTGATCAATGGTTTGGTATGTAATGAAAATATGAACTTAGCACATGGGATAGAAACTATAGTCAGATGTAATATTTTCCCCCAAATATTTGTTCGCCAGATGGATCCTAGAGTACCGTCTGTATGCTAAAATTGTGAATCCTTCTCGGATGCTAATCAAGTTTTTGTATCTAGGTCAATTAGAGATCGATGGATGGTCATGCAAGGTGATCAATTACTCTCTATATTTACAAAACCTTAGACGTCGGGTCACATCTGCCATGGTCGTGTTTTTTTGTTTTTTTTTTTGCATACAGTGAGTTTATAGTAAATGTGGCCAAGAATGAGTTTGCTTCATATGATGATTCATACATGTTTTAAGTAGAGCGCATTAAAAGTCAGCAGAACATCCTGTGTTTCCGCATTTCATAACTAAACTTGTTTGATATATAATTATTGCATAAAAAATTATTTCAAACAATCAGAGTGGCATCGATAGGCCTATTATTGTTTTTAAGAGTCATTGACGATTGAATTTCCTCTGTTCACATCGTTTTCACGTCCGATTACAAATGTCAAACTATGGCGCTGAGGTTCACGAGGGGTTAAGCGTCATTTCTCATGAGTTTGCAAATATTTCTCAGCGCAGGCAACTTAGCTTGTAAATACAAGAAGTAAAGATAAACACTGAAATCATCATGAAAGTGAGTTATAAAACATACCTGTTGCCATCTATCCTCAAGAGATGGCTGTGCAGAAAAATAGCCCGTGTCGTGCACGACTTGTAATTCACGGAAAATATTCCCGCTCGGTAGCACGTCCATCGTGGACTGAATGGGAATTTATTTCGGTTGATGTCTGCAATCAAGAATCCTTCTCACACCTGGTCAAAACATGCATGCGAGTCAAAACATCAGTTTATGTAGATGTGACTAGTTAAACATGTGTGAATCATGTTTTGGCCCCTTTAAATCTCGTTTACATCAGACAAGATCTCGTGCACGCTTGAATGTGTTCGTTGTAAAGATGGAATTTTTCATTATCCAATCATATTTGAGTTTACAAGTCGAAGGAATGCCCGATTAAAATATGAACCAATGAAAATCGTCATGGTCTTAGTAAAATAAAAAGTTATTGGATAGAGATATTCCATTTAAGGAAAATATTTGTATGCAAATCTGGGCTATATTTGGATCCTATAAGAAGCACACAATCGTCTGCTATGGTGTCATTTTGTGTATTGACTGTGTTGAGTCAGATAGTAGCAGGAGATATATAATAGTAAGAAACAAAGGTATTTCGACATCTTCCATGTTATTTCTACCCGAGAATGAATAATAAACTGACTCACAATATCACATGCCTTTTATTGACAAAACATAACTATTTTTTTACAAGATATTAAACAAATCTTTCAACCAAATGTCACGTTCTTTACATATGCATGCTTGAACCATCAAAGCCATTCAAACAAGTTTACAGCTGAACTGAGACGTATACAACATCCCCCCCCCCCCGTTTATACCTTGGTATAGTCCAAAAATAGTAAAATACCTAAATGATTCACATATAAAACTATATAAAAATATTAAAAATCATTCACCAATACATACAAGGAATGAAAATTCCAACAGATATTAAAAATATTTGAAACGTACTGCAGTTCAAATTCATATATCTGCAAACAATTTTATTTTTTCAAACACCAGGTAATGAAAGAAAGAAAAGATTTTTCGGAATGGTGTGTTTGAGTCGGGGTTAGGAAAGGGAATAATTCTAGATCTGTGTCCACAAAAAGCCACTTCTTTTTTTCCAGCTTGTATTAGTCAGTCCAATTTCATCATTATAGAAGATATAAATTCTTTGGGTCTGAGAATTATTATTTGTGTTTTTTTTAATTTGGATTTAATAATAATAATAAAGATTTAATGCCTTCAAAATTTTTTAACTGAGCATTTCCTTGCAAATGATATTTTCAAATAATAATAATAAATTTATACAAACTTTATGATATATAACAATATATTCATGGACCATATTAAAGGATTTTCCCAGAAAAATATAGAAAAGAGTAAACTCCTGTGAGTGTGCGTTCCGGGGCGGAGGGGGGGGGGGGGTCACGTTAGTTTTTAGTTATTTTAGTATTTATATTCATTATTCCGTTAATTCGGGGAGGATGATTGACCCCCACCCGTTCTTACTCTGCGCATGACTAGAAAAAAGAACTTTAAACAATTCTAATGTGAGAGAGAGAAAGAGAGGGGGAGGGAGAAGAAAAAAAAAACCCTTTCTTGGAACGAATTAAAATTTTTACGATTTTTGTCAATGTTCAATATCAATGATCAATATAAATAGCATTAAGATGTTGAACATCTGGATCATCAATTGACAATTCAAGTGTTCTGGTCCAGGGAACTATTTCTTTGTATTCTAATGAGCAAAGTTATTTCCCTTTGCCATTCACTTTGATAATAGATCACTGTAAATAATCTATTTGGTTTGAATCCTCCGAATTATTATTATACATTCATACAGGTAAGATATCGAAACATAGAAGTCAAATACACATCCGTTATTATGACAAAGAGCAATATATGATATGTGTCTCAAATGGCCCCTAAAATGAATATCTTACTTTTAATTTATATATAGCTTTACTTTGCACAGCTATACATGCGACCTTTATTGTTAATTTTCAAATTGATCAAAATGCCGTTAATATAGAAATATGACATCATAAAGTTAATGTTTTCCCGCAATTTTAGCATATTTTGTATAAAAATGATTATTTTCAAGCAGTTTTTCTTCCAGAAAATATTGAGCGCAAACTAGAACATACTTTATTTTTTTTTACCAAAGATGTATGTATTCAATACTAATTACTGACAGAAAAATTATGCATGTTCTACAATGCGCTTTATGTTTCCCACAAGAAAAAAACATCAAGAAAAAGATGTATTTTTGTTTTTTTTGGTTAGATATATAAGAAAGTGTTATTTCCATCATCATTTTCAGCCAGTGAGTGCATATAAATGTGAAAAATATATCGGGAATATATCTAACATAATCTCTTCTACAAAATAAATATCAATTAAACATATCTGAATGTCATTCTGAAATGCTGATTTTTAGGGGAAAAAATTGGCTCTTAACATATATAGTCCTTTGAAAAAAAATAAGTAAATAAAAAGGCCATATAAAGGGTTCTTAGAGTGGCCTTACCCTCTGACACTGACACTGGTTGAAACGTGAGGTTATTCAAGTTTAAAATCGCCAACAACTTTAATTTGACCGTAAATAACATAATATATCTTGTATTTCTACACCCAATCTCGTATATATGTATTATAATTTTTCAGCTACAAAGTTTGACCAATTTTAAAACTTTACCCTTTTCACTGTCTTTACCTGCCAATTCTAGCAGAAATGACATTGATCATGAACTAAGAAAAAAATATACACAGCAATTTTATCACCCATAACTTCATTATATTTTAGGGGAAAAGTCTATATTTCCATTAAATTTATTAGCCACTTCGTCCTTCGATCTGTCAATATAGATTACCGGTCGGTATATTAGTATATAGGCAATATTTCCACATCAACCTGAATGAACGTAATTTAGTGGAACTGATAGTTTAATTATTTTTCAATATCAAAGGTCTAGTGCTTTATTAAAAATGTCACATTGATTTGTGAATTGATTTTTCCTTAAAAAAAAATTCAGCATCACATTTTGTGTAAGTAATATATATTGGTAAAGTGGATTAATTTCACGGTTACACAACTTTTTCATTACGGAGTTTTCCCGTTCGTATCTTTTAATTTTTCGATATTTAGCATAAATAAAAAATAAAAATGATTTTTTTTTGCACATTATGACTTTTTTGACTTTATAATATTGAACTTTTTAAAAACAATAAACGGAACTTTATTAGACTTTGAGTCATGATGTAGGTTTTTTTTTTTTTTTTTTTTTTTTTTTTTTTTTTGCTTATTCATGCAGAATTTAAAAAAATTAGTTTAAGCGGATGCTTAAAAGCCGAGGAAATCATGAGTTCTTCTCAACCACGATTTCACGTCCTCGATATATTTTTATTGTCATAAATTTTGATTTCATAATTTGGGTAGAAGGATTGAGGTGCTTGCTTATGTTAAAGTTAAGAGAATATATATAAAAATATAATGTATTTCAACGAAGTGTGTAGATATGCTCAACGTCCAAGGAGAGTAAAAGGACCCATCAGAAGTGGGATCAGGTGCCACGAAGGAGTAAGCATCCACTGTCGACCTTTCACATCCGCCATGTACAGTCTGCATGAAAGACATCAGTCAAATTCAACCTATAATAACAGGTTGTGTAGAAACCACTAATGATAAAACGCCTCTTAATGATAGAAATACCATTTAGCGTTGTAACGGAACGCTTCTTGGCATAAATTGACATTCTCAACCGCTAATGCGAAATCGCCACTAAATGAAATTATATGGAGCGGTTGAGGATGTCAGCTATTAATGCAATAATAATTTATTGTAACGCTTAATAATGATATTTCTTGTTTTGTCGGCGTTTTATCACTAGCGGTTGCTACAAGGGTGTTCTGAAAGCAAGGTAACTGTTTCGAACAGAGAATGTGCAAAATATTGACTATGAACGAAGTAAGTGATACCCTCTTATCATCATTTTATTTGTCAATAGTCTGCCTTGTTTTAGAAATTGTTCGTAGGCAGAACGAATAAACCGAGAGACATAAACCCATATAACAATTCAACACAACCAGTGGCGTGGTTAGAGCGTTTCCTCTAGAGTCGCGAAGTAAGGAGTCGATCCTTATGTCGCGGGTTCGAATCCCACTGTGGGACGTGGATACCGATCATACGGATGAGACCATATAAACCGAGGTCCCACGTGTCGCAATAGGTGCTGGAACGAACTATATCCCTCACTGCTCAATGGCCCTGTGTGCCGAGTATAGGACAAAATTTGCAGCTCTGCACCGGCAAATGGTTACGTCTCCATATGAGAAAAAATTCTCGAGAGGGACGTTTAACAACATATAATCAATCATCACCACGATGTACCAATGCCCTTTCCAGAAGTGGACGTGATTTAGGCAGAGAATTGAGTGTATTTTTTCAATATAGACATGAAGATCACAATTTTGAAAACATATTAAATTTTATTATGGAAACATTTATACCTTCTAAGATGCCCATGGGTAAAATAGAAGATTTTATACGATATGATGTAATTTTTCTTTCAAAACCCAGTAGCTAAGGAATTAACAGTTCTGAAAAAGGGCTCAATGCACATAGTATAATCCTGCCAACAGTTTGAAAGCTTGATGTCCAAAATTGAAGAAATTTCAAAACTTTTGACTCCCTGGAGGAGGAGGGGGGGGGGTGTAAGATAGGACTACTTAGATATTGAAAGTTTTCAAAAATGATCCCAAAATCTGCCTTTCTCTTGCCAAGGTGAGCGATGTTGATTATTAGCTTCTTGTCTCAATACCAAGATGTTAAGTTATGTTAGTGTATACGAGTCAAATTTATATCAACTTTAAGAATGATTCAAAATTTTAAATAAAATATACATGTATAAGAATTTCTGGCTGCTCTCCATGAGTCATAAGATCAACTTTTAAATTTATAATTAATCTTATGCTTAAAAAAAAAAAATCCCAAAATATACTACATTTTGTACAAACCACGGTAAATATAATATTTTTATCTAGTAAATCAGTTTTATTAGATTGAGTATCGGTGAGACATTCCACAAGTATTTCGATACTGATATTTACTAGTAGTAAATGATAAAATAATGGTATGTCCCACAAAAATATTATTAATAGTGATTCTTCTTGTAGGATGATCAAATTCCAAAGGAAGTATATATACAGAGAAACCAGAAGTAACCATCAAGGTAAAGTACAAGTAAATGAAGTGACTAAGAAAGGGATGAAATTTATATTGATAAACATTTTGTCACAAAATAACCAGTTTTTTTTTCT